TTGTTCCTTGAAACGTCTTTGGAATGTATGTAGGAGTTCAACAAATTTATATAGACCCCAACAGAGAAAGCGGCATGCACAGCATGACTAGAATAGAGGTGTATTTTTCACTATGAAGGTTAGGCAGGTTAATGCTCAAAAACCCAGAGCGTTCATCTCCCACGTGAGGATAAGCCCATCGGATCTCCAAAGGCTACCTCCAGTCCCCAGAGCCACAAGGCAGGGCTATCATGAGAAGCCCCTCCCCTAAGTGGAGATGGGGACAAAAGTGACTCTGAGCCCCAGAGCCAAAAGCGACACGGGCCAGGCATCTCCAGGACCACGGGGGTTTCACCCAGTGAAGCCAGACTTGCTCATCCTTCCTCTGAAGTTAACATGTTTTGCAAAAGCATAAATGCAACAGTTCTGCTACATTTCCAGTGTATAAGCCACCCACCACTCTTCCTGGGGTGGTTTCTGGCCTTTAGACAAGGGAAAGGAGGAGCATCTGGCCAGATGAACAACGCGGCTTAACTAACACGCTATCTACAAATACTGAAAATGGTGGACCCAGAGACAAAGGGAAGCTGACACCACAAGTGGGATCAGGAGCACTCGGAGGCACTTTCTTCGCTCTTTTCTGCTTTTCTGGAGTTGCAAGGGTTAGACCTAAGAAGGGGATGGAAGGGTGTGGGGGCGGGGGCAGGGGAGGTGGGTCAGCAGGGAGTTAAAGGTTGATGTATAGAGAAAGTAATTGTATGCCTGGTTGCAAACTATAAGCAATAGTCTATGCCTTGACCATGATTCTACTCTTGTCCAATACTAAAATGTGAAAAGATTGAACTAGGAAATTCAGCTGTACTTTTCAATGTCTGCAAGCATAAGCACACCGCAATACACACACCCACACACCTTACTCAGTGCCTAACAAAGCTCACATGATTATAGAGAAAACAATGTAGTCTATACAGTTCCACCTAACACTCCCTGAGCAGCTCCTAAAATAGTTTGAGAGCTTATTAAGGCACCTGCATCTGAAAGATCAAACTAGACAGCTGGGCTAATTCTGCCTTGGCTTTTCATGTGACTTCTCCAGTCCATTCATGAGAACACTCAGGAATCACATACCATGTTCTTGATCATTTAGAGTCTGCAAGAGAACCTGGGAGGAAACCCATGAACTCTCTTGAAGATAATGCTGAAAGGTAGTATTTCCAGAGTCTTGGCTAAAACTCAAACAGGGATAGTCCGGAGAAGCCCTTCTTCAATGCTTCTTGACCTCTTTCACCGAAACGGGTAAATCCTTCCTTCTTCCAATATGCTCTTCAATCAGGCAGCTATCTGATGGGCTTGATTCTAACTGTATGAGGCACTTCTTACTAATTAGATGCTGGTTTCCTCCAGCACGACTCAAGTGCAGGTCAGTCTTCACAGCCCGCTGCCGAGCTCAGGTGATTGTATTTAAACTTTGAGGGTACTAAAACATATTCAAATGAGATAGACATTTTCTTCACCCAGGTCTCTTTTCTTATGTTTCCTATGCCTTATCGACATTCCTCTCCTGTCATTATTGCCCTTTACTTCCCCTGTGCCAAGATAACAGATCAAAGCACCAAGCCCTAAAATCATCTGTATTACTCACTCTGCGTACAGTCTCCCCTAACATTCTAAATCTCAAATATTGTAAATTCTTCGAAGGAATGCCTTGTACTTCTCCTGAAGACCATCCAATCGTGTTGTACTTGCATGCTCTTTTATTTCCCACTGCTGCTTCCAAACCCCAGCAAGTCTAAATGGCTTTATCAGAAACTCTTCAACTCAGATATGCAGTCTGCAGTTACTTTTTCACCCACCAATCAGAATGCTGTGCATCTCTCTACTAATAGGAGAGGGGAGGGGAGAAGCAACAAACGTGGGATACTGTGATAAAATAAGACATCAGGGGGAAGAGTGTGAGTTGGAACCACCTGCATTCTGATGTATTCCTTCAGACCTGAGGGCTAAAGCCGTGCACACACACAGCTTTGACCGCAAGCCAGAGAGATGACAGGTATCAACCGGTAAGGTACCAAGTCAGCCTTCCTCCCTGACTTCCTTCCCACCACTTCTACAGTGCTCCTACATTCCCTGCAGTCTGAACTTAGGGCTGCAAAATACATTCAGTTCAAAGACTTAATGCTTTTCAGCTCAACATTAAGTCGGAGAATCCACTAATGGCAAGAAAAAAAACCCCAAAAGTAAAAGGGTGTGACGATAAGTCTTCTTTTAAAGTTGCAGATGACAGTGCGACGCACAGTTCCCTTACACTCCCATCTGCACCTGTTCTTCCCTCGTGCACGGCTCTCACTTGAACTGGGCACCCAGAGCGCAGTGAGGGTGCTTTGCTTTTCCCATGGGGTCTATATAAACAGTTGGTCTTTCACGGTGACAGAATCCTCAGCTGGCAAATAAACAAAACTTGCATGATACTGCAATACTAAGACCACCTTAGAGCTTAAGACAATTGTTAAGAAAAAAATACTGGCACAAAATTGAATAAAATAAATTTGAAACACAAAGATCTGTTTTGGCCCCTCCCCCATGGAAGTCCATCTGTTTCAAAAGTAGAGTGAAAGGTAAAATAGTCCTTGTTTGTTTTTTGGGTTTTTTTTGGCGCATCCTCCTGAAACAAAACGTTGTATTCCACCTCCCTTGTCTCCCCTCCCAGACCTAAACTGTATTCCCATGACTCCTGGAGGGTCGATTTCTTCTGCTAACAAGTCTATAACTCAAGACACATTTTTTTCCATGGATGACTTTTTTAAATGATTGGACACGTTAATCTCCTCATCCCTTAAGCCAGATTCTTTAGGCTTCTAAAATAATACCCCTTCTCTCCTGAATGTTTGCTGCAGGATTTTTGTCCCACCCACCCCAAAAGTCCTGGTTTTTTCTTTTCCAACCATGCACATTGATTATAGCTAAAGCTCACTTAGCTCCCACCCTGAATGTAAAAAACTGAGTTCTGGAAAATTAAAAATAGGCTAACAATTAAAAACCAAGAGTCCAACAGATGCAGCTGTTCTGTATTGAAATGTCTCAGCAAGTGTCCCTGTTAGCTTCTGCGTCCATCACTCATCAGCATCCGGTTTGACGTCCAGCATGGCGTGGAGCTCCTCAGGTGTGTACCCCAGCAGGCTCTGCAGGTCACACACAAAGCGGTACACATAGCGCTTCCCTGCTGTCTTGTGGATGATGTTCTTGTCATAATAGTAACGCAGGCCACGGCTCAGTTTCTCATAATTCATCTTAGGCTTGTTTTTCCTCTTTCCCCATCTCCTGGCCACCTGAAAAAAAAAACAAGTGAATGAAGTAAGTTCAATTAAAAAGGAGGGAGAGAAAAAATATAGAGTGAAACTCAATGATCCTATGTATTTACCTGCATATGCCCATTCATTATGACTCGTGAGGTTGAACTGTTAGATTCTCGTTTTTCTTAGTTGTCTTATATGAATTCTGTTCTTCAAGGGACAGGCAGGGGTGATGATGAAGCTGATTGTGGAAAGTTGATGGAAACTGATGGAACCTTTCCCCGATATACTATCCATCAAATGTCTTGCTTTGAAAGCAAGAACTCTACTGTGAGGGAGCTGCATCAGAGTTACGACCACACTTGCCTTTCATCAATAGGAAGCAATCTGTCTGTACCGAGGTGAAACAGAAGCCCTGGTGGCATCCTGAGTTAGGCACTGGGTTGCTAATCACGAGCTTAGCAGCTTGAAACCAGCAACCCCTCCGCAGGGAAAAGATGAGGCTGGCGATCCCCACCAAGAGTTACAGTCTCAGGAGCCTGCAGAGGCCATTCTACTCTGTCCTGTGGAGTCACGTGAGTCAGAATTGCCTGGAGGCAGTGAGTTTGGGGAAATTTGAAGCCAACTAATCGCTCATGTCTGTCAGAATATAGATACTGTCTCTCTTGTTCATGGTTTTTAATCCTCAATGTTGGGCATGTCACAAACAACCACTCACTAAGCATTTGTGGGAAGAAGGAATTATGAACACACGGCACCAATCTCTCAATGCTGCTTGAACCGTCTGCATTCAGAGCCAGGTGTGAGAAGAGGTGGCAATTCCGAATTAGGAAAAGCCTACTATATGCAAGACACTTTCTATCTTGGAAAGCAAATGGCTAATGTAGCTACTGTCTCTGTTTTCCTAGTGAGTCACCGGGGCTTATACAAGATATGTACCTTGCGTGAGATCACACAAGTAGCAAGAGGCCAAACTGGGGTGCAAATCCTAGAAAATATCACCCAGGCCTACACAAGCCCTTCCCAAGGTTCTCATTCATCTTTCTTCAACCCAGTCATCATCAGTCAATCCTCTTACCTCATCTGGGTCAGAAAGCTTGAATTCCCAGCCGTCTCCTGTCCAGCTGATAAAAGATTGACAGGATTTATCAGTGAGTAATTCCAGAAGAAACTGCCACAGCTGGATTGGTCCACTGCCTGGAAACACAAGCAAGTGTGAATCATTATACCAGATGCACTCCGAGCAACGAATCTAATTGTGTAGCACATTCTCTCCCCTTTCTTGTTCAGTTCTAGCCCAAGGAAACGGACAGGGACAAATAATATAACCGTTGTAGGAGATGCTATGGGTTCAAAAAGATGGAGAACCACAGAAAAGTCTAAGACAATCTACAGAGTACCTTGTTCGGGTACACTGTGCACCAACTGCACTGCTAAGCAAACTCGAGGAGGCAAAAGAAAGATTGGGCCTACTCTCTCAGCTAGTCCTATTATAACCCACAGGCACTGTCATCTTTTTGCTTTCAAGAACCACGTCATTATTTTTGTCTTAAGAAGTAAGAAGGGCTGTCTTTACAAATTCCCAGCAGAAGTCAACGCTGACAAGCACGTCTTTATGGTAGGGAGCCTTGGCCTGGATTTGCAAGGGAGGAGGATCATCAGTCTCTCTTCAAATCTCCTCACAAGAAAGGAGAAGCTGGATGTCCTTTCAGCTGGCACAGTCCTCCCCCTCCCCTTCCCAGGCACTCGCAGGCAAACACTCAACGCAGGAAGGAAAACATCATTGCTATTTGAGGAATTAACTTGTCACCAGGAAATGGTCAGAGGTTAGATGAGGATTGTCTTGGAAACTCTTCACGGATGAAGTATATTCGAAGGTAAATATACATGTGCCTGAGCGCGCACGTGAGTGCACACACAGAGACACACTTCTTTTATGAGCCATCAATAGTACCACACTCTCAGGCCTAGAAGCCTGGTATACTCCAGCACTCAATTTATCCATGCTCAAGGATTTATGCCACACAGGTTTTCTTTTAGGATAACTTTCTACTTAGAAATCACATCACTTCCAGTGGTGTCTACAAATTTTTAAGTGGTGATGAAGAGAAAAATAGTGGTCCAATCTAGCTTGCTTCTCATTACATATTCACACTGTGCCAGGTGGCACCATCTGAAACCATCTGGGCAAAGTGGGATGGTCCTGGGAAAGGGAGTTTAAATGAATGAAGCCCAGGATGCTCTGCTCTGATGGAGAAATTTCATCCTCCGCCCGAGACTGAGCTTCAAATCTGTCCTATCCAAAGGAAAATTGAGATTTAAGTAGAAAACAAACAGTGCTGGGTTTATTCTCTATCAAGAAAAGAAATGCCTTTTATAGGTTATTAAGATCAGTCTCTTGTTATAGTTTGTATGTCTACCAAGGTATATTGATAAATGTCAGTTTACTTGTTTTTAAAATCCACTGTAGGGAAGGCCCAGTGGTCTCCTCCTCAGGAAAATTATGTGACTTTGTTCCAAATCACAGTTGGCAAACGACAGTGTGGTGTCCAGTGTGTAGGCCTTCAGATCGCGAATGTCATAGGAGGAAACAATTGAAGAGAAAACAAAGAGAGCTTCCTTTAAGACGCTCAGCCGAGAAGAATACCAACTAGCATTATGGCTTACTGTGCATCTACTACACACCTGGCACAGATGACACCAGCCCACCTGGTCCTCACACAGGGCAGACGCTATTGCTGAGCATCTTCCTCTGGGGATGCTCAGGGTTAGGACCAGTCTTCGGGTTGCTCCTCCTGATGCAAGGTTGCCCTGTGCCACTTTGGGGCACTGCATCTGTCTTGTGGGCCTGAATACTTGCACCTGAAAGTGGGGCTTCACAACACCGAGCAGAGTGCTCAGCAGCCCCTGTCATAAAATCCTACTTGTGAGTGCTTTGGAGAAGGTTATTTATAACCAAAGCTGTACGGTGTTCTTTCTGCTGTGGAAACAGCAGAAAACTTCATCTGGTTTCCTGACTTGCAACAAAGCAAAACAAATGTGCCCCCCCACACACTTTTTTGCTGGACTGTCAAATGATTCACCGCTGCTGATGATTGTGCTGCGGCGCCCTGATCTCAGACTCACTTCCACAGTGGTCTTCCAGGTCATTTGAGCATTTCCCCTTGTGGCAGTCGTTAGATTATGCTACTTCATTAGTTTCCTCTCTCAAGCAATTTAACTTAGGACTTCTCTCGTATTATTTACCTTAAAATCTCTTTGGCTCAGAGGGCCCAATTATACCAACCGAGGAAAGGAGTGGAAGGAGGGGTGTCCTTCCATCTCCCATTCCTGGCGACCCCCCAAAATCAAGTCAAACCAAACCAGTTGCTGTCAAATCCACTGGGATGCATGGCAGCCCCATGTGTGTCAGCAAGCATACATGTAATCCAGGGGACTTCCACATCTGTGACCTCTGAGCAGCATATTTCTAGGTCTCTCTTCCAAGTTTTGAACCATCAGCCTTTCACAGTTAATTCTATGTGCCACCTTAGGGCTTCCGGTTCCTGGAGAGGAAGGCTCAAATGGCTGCACCCTAGTTTCCTGCCATTCAGACTTGGTAGTCGCAAGTGGAGAAGAAACCTGAATTTATGTCACTGGCACTAGGTTGGAGAAGAAGAAACTGCAGAACGATTCCTGGTGTTTTTCCTGCCCATATCCATTCTGAATCAGCACGCCAGGGTCGAGGGCTTCATGTGGCTGCTCCAGCCCTTTCTATGTATATGTTTGTATTTGGCTGGGCGATGGACATAGACTGGGGTCAATGGGCTTGTCTATGGCCTTTTATTTTTTCATTGTAAGTTTCCCTTTGTTTAGAAAGACCATAAAAATATTTATTACAGAAACCTGATGCTCAGGCCCAAGGTGCGGTGCTCCCTACTCTTTTTCTCTGCGTTCCAGGGGAAGAGGGAGGAGAGACTGGGAAAATCAGATGCTTAAAAAGAAAGCATGTAAACTTGAACGGGGGTGAGACATCTCTGGATAACTTTACCAAAGGAGGCAAAATAATGTGGGACTGTCAGTTTAAGCCTCCCTCCCCCAGTTCCTGCAAAGAAGGAATCCCCTCAGCCCACCCAGGGCAGCTGGCTGTTCAGTATCTCCTCTGGGTGTGCTGGCGGCCTGGCTCATTACGCAGAAAGCCCTCATTGTTCCATCAAAGTAGGGAAGTCTATGACTCCTACCAGAGGGTCCTCTCTACCATGCTATCACTGATTCCTAAACGGCCCTTGCTACACAAAGAGGAAGGACACAGGGTTACTCTACCAGCCCACCAGGCTGGGCCAGGGCAGGAATGCTGGCTCTGGGTGGGCTCCTCTCTGGCTGCGCTAATGGGTTGGTCAAACGTGGGAGCCTGTTTGTGTAGGGATTATCCTTACTTCAGGTCTGGGAAGGAAAACTGGGAGCACTTGGAGACCCATGGCTGCACGTAAACAGGCCATCAGACGTTCTTACGCCCCAGAGCGGCTGAACGAGTGAGGCCAGCAACCCGTTACAAACGCTCCCAGAGACGGCCATGCAGTCCTTGCTCCGGGCAGGCCTGCCCAGAGCCCCAGGGCCACATCCCTGGCCTTGCTCCAGAATACCCTAAAATTGTAAAGACTCTGCCTCCAGTCTCCTGCACTCCCCGACGCCGGCCCAGCATCACAGATCCACTCACTAGACTGTGGTCTCAGTGACCTTTGTCCGAGGGAGCAGGGGAGGGTACTAAGAATAGTGCCAGTCATGGAAAGGAGAGCTCACATGCTAAATGTGGCTCACAATGGTGTCCCTGTCTGGGACCCCCGGACACTCAACAGCGTCCTTTACCATGCCGCCCCAGAGGGTCATACATCAGGAATCCCGTGGCATCATTGAGAAACTATGCTTCTCCAGCAGGAGGTCAGAGCTGCAGCAACAGAGGAGACCCTGTTAGAAAGAAGGCTCTCTTCAAAGATGGGTAGGAGGGAAGACACTACACACTCACACTCGGGCTCTCTGAATGCTTCCCCACCCCCAGCAGTCTGCTTCCTGCAGACTCCCCCCCTACCCTCACAGCCCCAAGTGTCAAGGAGATTTTACTCCCTAATGCTTTCTTCTGTGCAGAAAGCGTACAAAACTGAGGGTACTGCCTTGAGGAATACAACACAGCTTCAAAAGAAATATCACGTGGGTTCCTGGAAGGCTGAGAGGTAAGCAGAGTAAATCCTGCTGAGGACATGGGGGCCTTTGAGGTACCTTCAAATCTAATACTGAAATCTCATTTTTTTCAAAATGGCAAAGCAACTACTCATTCTGATCATGTCTTAAGTCCCTTCTTCTGGCCTAGGACCAGGAAACCCACCTGTCTCTTGACGAGGGGCCGTGATGAAAAGTCCCTGCTTTCTTGACCCTCTCTCCCTGTGCAGTCCAAATGACAAAGGAGCTCAGTCACTGACCAAAAAGTTGGAGGTTAGAGTTTGCACCTTGGAAGAAAGGCCGAGTGATCTATTCTTAAAAATCCAACCACTGAAAACCTTAAGAAGCACCTTTCTACTCTGACACACACGGTGTTGCCCCTAATCCAAATAAACCGAGCAACGGCTTTTCCCTGAGGCGTACGAAGTAACTGAAAGAAATCTACAGCACTGCGAGATGGCATAAATTCAGTAAGCTGCTCCTGATGACCATCCCTTTCTGTCTACCTGTGTGCCGTCATAGTTCTCCTTTTCTAGGTTTGGATCGTGCAGGCCACCGGCAATGGCCTCCTTCCTCACTGTTAGTGAGCGGGGTTGGTTTGGGGTTGGACTTCAGCTTTTCCTCCTGCTTCTTCCTCCTTTCCATTTCAACCACAAGTTCTCACTCTGTCACCTGTGCCCGAGCAAGAGGCTAACATATATGAGCAAATGTCCACGTAACGTGGAAGTCAGCCCAGGGTACGACTTTCCTAGGCAATCTCTACTCGGCTTCAGTGGTGGTTGGCTCTCAGACGGATATGCCTGTCTCATCTCTAGAATATGTGCCTGCACGTTGTTTTGCTTTTTCGCGGTCTTATCCCAAAACCGACAAGAGGGCCCCACACCAACTCTTTAATATTTGGTGACTCCGACGACCAGTTCTTAAAGAGCTATTATTGATCCTTATAGTCTCAGGACCGGGTATGACGCCTGCCAGGTCTTTGGCAGGTATTCAATAAAAGTGTA